GCTCTCCAATAACGAGGTGATCAAGAGAGCTCTCTAATGCCACTTTTTGTTATATAATTCCTTTAGTGGCTACAAAATTTGGTATGATTCCTGATGTCTTAGAAGAAACTTTTACGGTTTCTACATCGGTGGGTGACTTTGTAGTTGCTAAAAGAGTTTATAGGAGTTATCCCATTTCATTGCCCAATAGATTCACATTAGTTGATTTGATAGAAATTGATATGTTGGACTTTGATGTCATTTGGGATGGATAGGCTATACACTTGTTTTTCTTCCATCGATTGTAGAATGTAGTTAGTAAAGTTCCATTTTCCAAATGAACCAATTTTTGAATTGAAGGGGGGAAACTTATCTCCAAAAAGTCAAATCATTTCATGTCTTAAAGCTTGTAAGTTTATTTCTAAGGGATGTCTCTTCCATATTATGAGAGTCAAGGATCTTGAGTTCAAGACTCCTTCATTAGAGTTGGTCTCCATAGTGAAAGATTTTCTGAAAGTCTTTCCCGATGACTTCCATATTTTGGCATTGATTTATTGCTGGATAAAAAAATCATCTCAATTCCTCCTTAACTTAAGGATTTTCTAGATAAGGGTTTATTAAACCAAACATATAGTCATGGGGTGCCTGGTGTGATTTGAGAAAAAGAAAGATGGGTCTCTTCGATTGTGTATTGACTACCGACAGTTGAACAAGGTCACTATAAAGAATAACTACCCACTCGCTAGGATTGATGATTTGTTTTCCCAACTCCAAGGAGCGAGTAACTTTTTAAAAATTGACTTGAGGTCGGATTATCATGAACTTAGAGTGAGAGGTGTTGATGTTTTGAAAATGGAATTCTAAACTAGATATGGTCAATTTGAATTCTTAGTGATGTCCTTTGGTATTAAAAATTTCCCGGTGGCTTTCATGTTCCTTATAAATCGAGTTTTTAGAAGATATTTATTTGTTTGTGATTGTTTTCATTGATGACAATAAACTCTAAGAGTGAGAATGATCAAATGAACCATTTGAGGATAGTGTTGCAAGTCCTCAAGGATAAACAATTTTTTACTAAATTTATTAAATGTGAATTTTGGTTGAGATTGGTTACTTTTCTTAGACACATTGTCTCTAGAGAAGGGGGTAGAGGTCGATCCGAGAAAGATGCATGCAACCAAAATTTGTCAAAGACATTTGAGTCCTACGGAAATCCGAAGATTTTTGTGTTTGTCTTGGTATTATAGAACATTTTTTGAGGGATTTTCATCTATAGTCTCTTTATTAAAAACTTTTAACCCAAAATAAGTCCAAGCTTGAATATTTGAAATGATGTGAGAAGAGCTTCCAATTATTCAAAGATAAAATCACCTCCACTACGGTGTTGACCTTACTGGAGGGTACTGAAGGGTTTGTGGTTTATTGTGACACTTCTCGAGTAGGTTTGGGTTGCGTCCTCATGCAACATCCTAAGGTGATAGCATATGCCTCTAGGAAACTCAAGGTTCATGAGAAAAACTATACAACTCATGATCTTGAACTAGCAGTCGTGGTATTTGCTTTGAAAATATGGAGATATTATATTTATAGAGTTCATGTAGATATGTTCATTAATCACAAAAGTCTCCAATATGGTTTCAACTGAAAAGAGTTAAGCCTTCGCCAATAAAGGTGGTTAAAACTTTTGAAAGATTATGACACGAGTGTCCTCTACCATCCCGACAAAGCCAATGTTGTTGCGGATACATTGAGTTACATGTCCATGGGTAGTGTAGCTCATATTGAAGATGCGATAAAGGAGTTCGTCCGTGATGTGCATAGGTTGTCCTACTTGGGAGTTTACCTAGTAGATTTTCTTAAGGGTGGTGTTATAATCTGATCTAGCTCCGAGTCTTCCTTGGTGGTTCATGTGAAAGCCAAGCAACAACTTGATCCTATATTGGTGGATTTGAAAAACTCTGTACTTGGTAAATTCGTTGAAAATTTGTTGAAGTTTTTTTGCAAGGGGGATATGGGGTACTTAGATATCAAGGTAGGTTATGCGTGCCAAATGTGGACAAATTAAGAAGGAAAATTTTGGAAGAGGCTCATAGTTTGCGATATTCCATTTATCCGGGTGCCACCAAGATGTATCGCGACTAGCGGGAGATCTATTGATGGAATGGTTTGAAAAAGGACATAGCGGAATTTGTGGCTAAATATCTAAATTGCAAACAAGTCAAGGCCAAACATCGAGGGTCACGAGGCTTGATTCAAGGCATAAAAATTCATATTTGGAAGAGGGAAGATGTTAATATGGACTTTGTCGTGGGCTTAATACGCGCAAACTTACTTCTCAAATAAGAAGTAAATCGGTCGTATAAAGTAAAGAACCCAACTAATGAAGTTGAGATCGTTCCCACGAGTAAAATATTTCAGACTTAACTTTAGTGTATTATTACTATAATTTAGTAAATTATTTCCTTAGAAAAAAATACTATAAAAGGAGGGTTTTATTTCTAAATTAATGAAAATAACTAACTAAATTAAAGTAAACAACTAACATATTCAAATCTTGGAGTTTAATCAATTAGTAAAAGTAACTAGGGTTTAAGTATTCCCCACAGGTTCCTAACTTGATAATTCTAACTATAACAATTCTTTCCTAGTTTCTTGCATGCAAAGTGATAAGTTATGTATTTCTAAATCCTTGGTCCGGCATCTAGAAAATTTAACTCCGCACCTTGGTTCGGCTACGTGTGTTACTATACTAACCCTTACCTTTACCTCATATTAAGCATTGTATTCAATATTTGACTAAGTTATTACCTTGTACCAATCGACAATAGTCTATTAGATAGTATACACTAAATCTATGTTGATAATTCTTGTCCTATTATCTGCCTCCTTTGTCCGCAAGTAGCATTAAGGCCAGTTCTAACGTTGGCCATCAGTTAAAAAGTATTCTAAACAAAAGAACATCAATACATGCAAGGCACTATTCTTGAATTGTTAATTTATTTAGATTTTATCTCATTATTCACCCATGGTTCCCACAATCCTAGTTATGGAGTTTAGTTACCCATAGTCATAATCACAATATTAATATGTTTAATATAAAAATTCATGAACTTACTTTGATGAGAAAGAATAAAATCCATAAATTCACTTGAGTAATAAACAAAATTACCAACAATCAATTCCTGAAAAAATGTAACAATTGCTGAAATTAATCCTTCAATACTTGAACAAGAGAACTAAAGATTCTCCAAAAGTCTAACAATCAAAAAGTCTAATATCAAAGAGTCTACTAACAAAGAGTCAAACCCCCAAAATTTTGTTTTTCAAACTATTTATAATAAAAACAAAATGTAATAAAAGAAGGATTCTAATTAATGAAAATCTGTCAAAATGCGGTTGGGTCGACGGACATCGTGACGGACTGTCGTGCTCACGACAAGCCATCATGGCCTCCGTCGTTCAATACTTCACAAATTCTTATGTTGCTCTCTTTATTACCCTCGACGAATAGGTATGACGGACCGTTCCAAGCACGACGGCCTGTCGAGGGTCTCCATTCCATAATACTTGAACTTCTTGGAATTTGGGTACTGGACTACTCTCTGATCATTGCGACGAACCAGCAGGACGGACCGTCGTGGCTATGATGTTCTGTCATGGACTTTCGTAATCCCACACTTAGGTCAGACTTCCCCATCTTCTTTCAGCATCTTCACTACGATGCAATCTAGGGACCGTCACAAGCTCCGTAGGTGGTCTATTCTGCATTTCTCGCTCAAAACTTTCCGCGTTCATCTTTGGACAAATTTCCTCCAAATAAGGAGAAACTTACATAAAAATCAATACAAAAAGGCTTTTCGACACACACTAAATTCAAGGAAAAAGCATTAAAAATAACGTGAAACCAAGGTATATTAAGACCCTCAACTTCAATTCGTTGTTTGTCCTCAAGCGATGCACTATGACTCATTACAAAATCTTTATATAATAATATCCATATTTTAGCTTTCGCATCCATTTGGCTATCAATCCCGATGAATCTCATCATGTTTATGCATGTTATCACTATTGGGTTTGAATTATGTGGAATCAGACCATGACACAGACTCACCACGCACTGACACTTATCCTCTTCAATTTCTCACCGAGGTGCTAATATTTTCAGTATTGCAACTAGTGTCCTCACTTCAAAACAACATCCTCATTTTTCACACAATGATTTCAGTTTGAGTATAAGGATTACTTTTTAACACTCACTCTCAGAACACATTCACAACTCATTCATACATATTGCCATAAGCTTGCCCTTATTTTCACTGCTTTAAGTTCGCCATACAACTCTTAAGATCACGATAGAACTTTCTTAGCTTGTAACATAGGCTCAGGGTCAGGTAGGGTATATTCAGGTATACTTTAGTGACTTTTTGCCCTCCTTTACATATCGTCTAAACATACCACTTTTTATCATTTTATTTCGCCCAATTTCTCATATTCTTTCACCTTGCTATTTTCCCGTCTTTCTTCATTTGTGTAAGTGAATCCTTTTCTTTTCTTGTTCGATCATGTGCTACCGTATCAGCTTGATTTTCACCAAGTGGAGGCAACTTTGGACGGGGCCCTGTGCGTAGAGCCAAATCATTAGCCTCATCCCTGATGAGGCCGATATCAATAGTGCCCAGCGGAGTCTTGAGCTGATCAATGTGATAGATGAACACTCCTGCGGACCTACATAAGGAAAATATCATGCACGGAAAAGGTTAAGTAGTTGTGACCTTGAAAGCCCTCTCGTGCATGACTGCTTGTAGAAGTCAAGCGAAGTCCACCTCAAACCCGGCTATCATCGCCGCCATCAGAACTGCGTGATTCCATGTGACTATATTATCACCATCCGTGGGGGAAAGGCAGTGACAGATAATCAACCATAAGAACTTAGACGTGAAGGTCAAGTTAGCCTTCTTGATGGCTCCCTCTTCATGAATCGACAAGTACATGGCCATCCACCTCTTGGTGGTCTCTCTCAGCCATGGCTCATGCAAGAATTTGCCATCTTATACAATTTGCCACCGGTAGTCAAACTCGGCGGTGAGAGAGGTCCTATTGGCCTCAACATCCTCGTCGTACAAATACCGGCGGATGGCAGGCAGAGAGATGTCGACATGTATGCTGCGTACTCGGACATGGTCAAGTAGGGCCTATTTGGCGGGGGCAGCCTACCTATCTATATGTGATCGGAGAGTATCCACGTAAGAGGTGTAAAACTCTCGAACCAACTCCTCACTATAGAGGCCTAATAAACGAGATGTCCACTCTAGAAGGTGTCTGGTGAAGAGATTGTGGATCTCTGGAATGGTGGGGAGACTTCCTGTAAGGACCAGCCTCTGCAGTGTAAGGGTCTGTGTCATGAGTCCTTTCGCATTTAAAAACTTTGCGTCTAAATACACTTGGTATTGCCCGTCGACGCACCACCAATTGGGCTGGTAGGCAACCGGGGTGAGAGAACCAGTCGGTGATCCTGGAGTGGAATCAGGACTGTCAGCCTCTTTAGACGAGGCAGACTGTGCAGCTGTGGCGGGTGCAGGGACTTCTGCGGACCCAGAGGCTTTCTCCGACCATGAAACTCTTAAGGAACTAGACGCTCCTTCTTCAAGTGTCGTTGCTGCAGAAGGTGTGCCGGTCAGTGTGCGCTCCTCATCAGTCTTGGAGGCAGTAACTAAGTCGGACGCCACCTTGTTGGGCGTAGCTCTGGTTGCATGTTCAGCTCGTGATGGAGTGGCAGTGCCTGGGGGCACGTACTCGAGATCATGCTCATCATCAGAGCCTATAACCATTCAGGCAGACGGGGTGACAGACTTTGAACGCCCACATGCGTAAACTCAAGATTGTTGTGGTTACATTAGAGATAGTACCTGTAAAGAATCAATATTAGTACTAGAAGGAGCAAACAAGACAAGCAAAAACAACACAAAATAAATTTAAGTGAAAATTTGTAATGACATCTTTGTAGTAACACTGAAACACGACGAACTAGATGATGACTCGTCGTGAGTACGATGGACCGTCATAGGGTCCGTCATGTATTACTTCAACTATGTTTATGTGGAGACCCTAAAGGAAAGTATCTGACAGTTATGATGGATCAGCAGAAAGGACAGTCTTGATAATGATGGTGCGTCGTCGATGTCCATCGTGGGGCACTTAGAAAAAGTATGGAGACCCTTAGGAGAAGGGTCTCTCACCATCTTGACGGTTGTACAGGACGGACCATCGTGGGTATGACGGTCTATCGTAGATGTTCGTCAGAGGACACTTGGAAAAAGATGGAGACCCTTAGGACAAGGGTCTCTGACAATCATGACGATTGTGCAGGACGGACCGTTGTGTTAATGACGGTCTGTCTTAGATGTCCGTCAGATGACACTTAGAAAAAGTTGGAGACCCTAAGGAATAGGGTCTCTGACAACCAGAATGGTTGTGTAGGATGGACCGTCATACCTATGATGGTCCGTCATAGATTTCCGTTAGAGGACACTTGGAAAAAAATGGAGACCCTTAAGACAAGGGTCTCTGACAACCATGACAGTTGTGCAGGATGGACCATCGTGGGAATGACGGTCCGTCGCATGTGTCCGTTGATGGACACTTAGAGAAAATGAATAGTGGGGTGTTGGAACAGACCCTATGCCGGTCCATCGTGAGTACGACGGTCCATCATCAGGGTCTCGTTCTGTCATTCAATGATAGAATTGAGGATGCCGCAATCATCCCCTGTGACTCAAATGGAATACTTAGTGTTAACCTACATGTTTCTAACCCAAATACCTAGCAAACTAGCAATGCTAAAGAACCTATTTCTCGAGTTTTAACAAGGCAATTCGAGGATTCTCATCGTTGGTCAGACAAAGTTGTATCAAAGAATGAAGAGCCACCAAAAAGAAATAGACTAATACTAATTAAAAAACAAAAATTCAATGTAAATGTGTAGAGATAAAAGACACATACCTGAGAAGTGGAGAAAAAAAAGCAAATGAGGCACTTGGTTATCAAGAGAAGAACCACAGCAGCAGACTCCGACCAGTAGAAAAGAGATTTTTGAAATTGAGGATTTGGGGAAGTGATCAGTTGATAGAGAAGAGAGGTAGGAAGTTGGAAGTTTGAAAGGGAGGGAAATGGGAGAAAGAGGTAAGGAAACGGGTGAAATGAAGGGGTGGGGTTTTTAAAATGTTGACAAATTTTAAAATTCCCCATCCGGGTCGGGTCGGGTCGAGTTCTCGATTAATGATGCAATGAGTCTTTGATGATGGTATTTTGCAGATCCGACGGTCCTTCGTGGGTTCCATCGCCTGTGCCCTAATTTTGAAAATAAATTAAAGACGTACCTGTCACAACGGATACATACGACGGTCCATCGCATGCATGACGGCCCGTCGATGTATCCGTCAGTGAATGTTGTAGAGTGATTTTCTGCAGAATTTCTTGGTGATGTGCCTATAAATTTAGAACCCATTAGTAGAAAATGCTACCATTACTAGAAAGAAAACTATACGTATTGGGGTGCCTCCCAACAAGCGCCTGATTTAACGCTGCGGCATGACTAAAGACACTTGATTACTCAGCCTTCATCAAGATGGTATGCCTCGATCACTTCATTCGCTAATTCAGCATGCCCAAAATAGATTTTTATTCGTTGTCATTTCACCTTAAACCGCACACCCTCCTTGGTTTCTAACTCACCTGTTCCATGAGGGAATAATGGGGTAATCAAGTAAGGGCCAATCAATTTGGACTTGACCTTGCTCGGAAACAAATGCATCCTAGAATTGTATAAAAGCACCAAATCCCCAACCATAAACTCTCGTTTTTCAATTTTTAGGTCATGGTGCTTCTTCATCTTTTCTTTGTAGGAAATAACATATACCGATTTGAGCTCACCAGTCTGCCTCATGGACTAACAAATGTTGAAGGTCACTTCTTCATTGTTCAACCGAAATTTCATCTGCCCCTTTTCTATATCAACTAAGGCTTTAGCCGTAGCAAGGAATGGACTCCCAAGAATAATAGACACTTCAAAATCGACTTCACAATCAAAAAAAACAAAATCTGTCGGAAATATGAATGATTCCACTTTTACTAGCACATCATTGAGTATCCCAATAGGCCTTTTTACTGTTCGATCGGCCATCAATAGTCGCATCGCAGTGGGCTTTGGATCACTCCAACCCTACTTCTTGTAAATCGAGAGGGGCATGAGATTTATGCTTTCCCCTAGATCACATAATGCTTTCGCAAAATGTAATGACCCGACTGTACAAGGAATAATGAATGCACCCGGATCTTCTTTCTTTTGTACTAGTGATCTTGTAGCAATAGCACTACAATGCTGCATTCTATCATCATCCTAAAAAGTGACCGATCTTTTGTTTGTAACCAGATCTTTCATAAACTTGGCATAACCGGGCATTTGTTATAGAGCTTCTACCAAAGGGACATTGATAGAAAACTGCTTCAACATTGTTATAAAACGCCGATATTTACCATCCTCGGTATTTTTCACTAATCTTTGAGGAAATGGGGTGGTGGTTTAGGCATGGGAGTTACCTTTGTAGGTACTTCAACATCTTTTCCAGTGTTATCTTCTACTTCATCACTAACATCTACCACTTTATCATTATGTTTTATCACCTTGTCCTCATTAGACAACATAGGTGGGTCAATGGTTTGCTTGCCACCCATAATAGTGATTGCCATACAGTGTCCATCATTTTATGGATTTTGGAAAGTGTTGCTAGGAAGAGTGTCCGGTTGTCGTGTGTTCACAGTTGTAGATAATTGGGTCATGTGCAACTCAAGCTGCTAAATCGATATTGCATGTGTATCGACTTTCTGCCCAATACCCGCTAAATCACTCCTTAACTCTTTAATGTGCTTATCACTAGCATCGAACCTCCTCATCATTTTATGCAACACATCCTCAACTCTCTCTATACTACCTCCGCCATCCCTAGGAGTAACTTCACGATATTGAGGAGGAACATAGGAGTCATTCCTATCATTTCTGTTACCATAGTTACCTCTGTTGAAGTTGTTGTCGCGGTTGTAATTTCCATCTCGAACATAATGAACCTCATGGTTATAGTTACCATAGATCCGACCTTGGTTTCCTTGACCTTAGCACCAATTCTCCTGATTAGAGCCTTGGGCACTCGGTCGGAACCCCCCTCCCCCCCACCTGCTCATTTACCGCATAGGAATCTTTCTCATAATAACATTCTTCATTTAGTGGTGGTGGTTTAGACAAGTTGTTAACTATATTTATCTTTTCTGCTCCCCAGAGATATGTTTCGATACCAACCCAAGCTCAGTTCTCATCTGAGCCATCTCTTCACGAATCTCATCTGTGGCTGGGTTGTGAGTGGATTGTACTGCGAAGGTATTTGTCCCAGTATCTGACTTCGTAGTACTCCAAGCTTTTCTGGGAGATTTTCTCTAACTTTTCGGCAATCTCGACATAAGGACACTCCCCATAAGAACCATCCGCTATAGTATCCAATGCCGCTTTATTATTATCATCCTGTCTCCGATAGAAGTATTCCTTCAGTGACTCATCATATATGCGGTGATTGGGGACACTTCTCAAAAATGAAATGAATCTATCCCAAGAATTGCTAACTGACTCTCCTGGCAGTGCCACAAAGTTGTTTACTCTGTCTTTGTGATTTTGTTACTTGGAGAACGGGTAGTAACGTGCTAAGAAAACATCCCTTAGTTGGTTCCAAGTGTAAATTGAGTTATAAGGGAGCTGCCCTTATATTAGGTATATGACCTCCAAATCCAAATCAGGCCTCCCTACAAAAGTTTTACACACTGCCCTTATCTTAGATATATGGGCATGTGGGTCCTCAAAAGGTAGTCCTGAAAACAAACCTCTAGCAGTGAGCATTTGCATCAGACTACTAGTTACCACAAAGGTATGGCCTTGTGGTATAGGGGGCAAGAGAAGTGGACCATCAGAGTCTGCAATATTATCATAGCCTTTGTAGTATTCTTGAGGGCTTGGAGCATGATTTTGTCCCCTTTGTTGATTTTCACCCGAATCATCGGGTAATAACTGACCATGAACATCAACAAGAGCTAAGATGTTCTGGTTTGGATCATCATCGTTAATACCCAAGTTTCGATTCATATTGTGTAG